AGAATTGTGGTGACAGGTCCAACCCAATCCAAAGCGGATATTTTTCCTTCTGAGAGGCAGAGCTCTTTCCTCCTCATATCCAGTTTATGCTGCATATCCATGTACTTCCACAGAGTATTTACACTTCAAATCAAAACCAAAAAAAGGTACATCACTGAGAAATTACAAAATATCCTTCCTTACTTAAATAAACTATTTCTAGTTATCTCAGAAATTATTATTTTAACCTCTACATCCCTTTATGCAAATTGAAAGGGCAAAGTATAGAACTGGACAGATTCAGGAGTCAGATAAAAATGAACAACAATGCATTATGCTATCCCATAGACCTGTTTGTATCTTTTTATTGTTTATCACTATGATTTCCGCTCATTCTGTAGTATATTATTATTTTACGTTTTTTTAAGAAAGTACAATTCCAATGAAATAAACTTTCTATTTTACTTTTCTTAAACAAAAATAAATGTAAATGTACACACATTTAAAATTACACACGTAATCAGATAAGTCTAAATAATCTCTTCTCAAATCTTGATCTCTTTCAAAATGTTTAAATATTAAAATGTTCACAATGTTAAAATGTTGATTCTGTGTATGTAGCAAGTAGACTAAAACAGAAAGACATGACGACAACAATCTGTCTTTTATCCAATGTGACAACTGCTTCTCACTCAGAATAACTGGTCTCTCAGAAGAGTAATGTATATCACAGATTCTCTCAGTTTTCATTAGAACACTATCTCAATTTCTCCAGGGAAATTATCTTTGAACAACATATCACTCTGCCCTTGGAACCATCAAACTGACATTTGACAAAACTGTGGAAGGCTCGTAAGTTAAATTTAAAACTCCGTTAAACCTTGCTTCACACATGTCATTGAGCTCTAGGCCCCCCCAGAAATAATTAGAAAGGCCAATATCAGAGGCTGGTGGGAAAATTTCCAGCACTGGTCAGTATATCAACAGAAAAAATATCCATTTCCTCTTTACTTGCAAGCAGAAAAGTTTGGGGACTTTATAACCTGCTGTAACCTAAATGAAAAAAAATAATGTCACTGTACTGATTCTTGGGCTCAGAACATTTCTTTATTATAGACGTAGATGCCCATGGCCAGTGGTGTTTATGCCAATGTATCTGATTTTCTTGTTTGCCATCAGTACCAATAGCCCATGATGTTACAAAACAGGCACAGCATTTTTCTAATCATTCTAACCCCGTGTAAATACGGATGAATAAAATGACAGCTAAGAAAATATTGATTAGCAGAAGTTAAAGAAATTAATAGATCTGTTTCTTAAATTAAATTTAGACCTTAATGATGATTCAAGCTGCGAAAATTTAACACTTCACTAAAATCCCACAATAAACTCTAATCATACGCTACAACTTAAATAAAACTCTAGGGACGAAAGTTGGCAGGATTATGAGGACATTTTGCTTCAACAAGGTCAAGTGGTTTTTTAGGTCAATAAAACATAACAGAAATTGCACCTCCAACTGCTGAACAAATGTTTCTGCATACCAATCTTTGAAAGCCAGTGAAATCAACCATAATGACAACCGCATAGCGTAATACCTCTCTAAGCTCTCTCTGGCTAGAGATATTTTCAATCAATGTTGGGTATTTTCTGATAAAAATGCCAGAGTGGTCACACTCAGACAATAATTTCATCACAGCCAACTCTGGAGTTAATGCTTTTAATTTCTGGAAGAAAGATCAATTCTGAAAATAAATCGTTTAAGTTTGGGGTTTTTTTTTTATAATTCAGGTGTAATAACTATCCATTCAAGCACATTAAAATGTGTTTTTCGTAGATAAACAATAAAAAGAAAGTGTTCATCCAATCCATTACTGCAATCAATAAGCCTCAAATTTCAGAAATAAAATTTTCCAGCTGGAAAGTTGCTTCCGATCGTGATGTGCATTAAAGCACATCAGGAAAAAAACCCTCTTGTCTTGTCAGTCTTTTCATAATAAGACATCTTTTGCCATACAGTTCAAAGGCATCCACATCAGATACTTCTCTGACACGTCTGAACTGTGAAATGCGGACTCTGCTTGTTATAGAGACTAAAATACCAAAACTCTCCCAAAATGGCAAGCTCTGCTTCTATATGAATACAGAACAATGCTGTACAAAAAAGTATACATTGACATAAAAATTCTGAAAACTTCAGATCTGAACACATTATAAATGCAGACTGGACATTTTCCATGATTACAGACAAATGTGCTGCTTGACAACCTGATACCTGGAACCAGCAGAAATGGCTAGAAGTTTCTGAACCAGAAGCTGAACGACTCCAACTGATCCTATTATGTTTTGTAGTAACAGGGAAAGGGATGATGGTAAAGTATTAAGTCTCTGATCTTAGGTATAAATCTCTCTGTATACTATCATTATTGTTCTATCCCTACAGGGTTGGGTTGTCTACCAAAGTTATTCCCAGTGTTGAATTCCCTGTACAAAGACAATAAAACTGAAAGAAGAAAAAAATCTTCACACAAAACAACATATGAATTCAGTATGTTGTTAATAAACATTTTTTTCTTACAGACTCTTGACAAATGCATTCCTTTTCTGTAAAGTTTCTGATCTAGAAATGGAATGACCAAAAACTTCACAACAGGGACAAGCAGAATAAAAACAAAAACCAAAAAAGACAAACAGAAGTTATTAATATGGAATCAAAATGGCCAAGCAACTGAAGCATCCATGAAAATCTTCATTGCAGAAGGAGTAATTAAGTAGGAGAGCAGTAAATACTGACCTGGAAGTCAAGCTGGTTGGAGTAGGGATGAAAGCAGCAGTTTGGAGAAAAACAGATAGGGAGGAAGACAGCAAAAAAAGAATAAAGGAAGGAACATATTAGTTCTTTAAAAATGTAACAAGCAGATGTCATATCAGCAGATTTTATTCGAAAAAAGAAAAGGAAGGCAAAGGGAAAGCGAGAAGTAAAATAAAATTTCTGTAGCCGTATATCCTTGCTGTGCACTGAATAAAACAGAATTTTTACAATAAAATGGCATCTTGTCATTTGTGGACTGTGGAAAGCCATCCATATTTATAACCACCCGAATGCATACACACACTGAACAGAACAAATAAATTAGCTGGATATTGGTAGTTTTCGCTGCCACACAAATGTCTCATCATATACCACAAAGTCTTTTTTTGAATCGACATAGATTTGGTGACCCACATTCATGAAGTCTTCCCATGAAAGCCAAAACAGCTAAACAATTTGGCAGCTTGTTCAAAGGTATCATTTAGAAGTTCACAAAGCACTGCACCTAATAATCAGTGACAGAGATTTGTGTCATGTCGCTCCCCACCCCCCATCCCGGAAATTCAGCCACTTCTAATGCTGACAGCAATTTTTTTCTTCATTCTGAAGAATAAGGTTAATACTTCATCACTGAAAATACTCCAAGGCTTGATAACTTATTTGTTAAAACATACCTAACAAGCCCTTTCAATTAAGTAAGACAAAAAAAATCCCTGCCTGACACCCAGCTAGACTAATCCTTAAAGCTGTCACTGGTGCACAGGTTTTCGTTCACTTATGAAAAGGAAATTTTTTAAAAGCCACAAAAATAGTTTTTTATAATGCAATTATTCCATATGCTGATGTTTTGTCATTTATGAAATGAATTGTCAGTGCTCTGTGGACTTATTTTCATCAGAATTTAAATCTAAAACAAGTCAGAATGAATTAATTGTAGTCTGAACATCTCAAGAGCTTAAATGCGCACCTATAGTGTTATTACCCAAAACTTATCACTTCATACAAGAAGTGGATAACAAAACCCCGAACTTCTTGTTTAAAAACAGACTGGGTTTGTCTCAGATAGTACAGTATTTTTAAATGAACTTCCATATTGTTGTAAGCTTTGCTGAAAAGCTACACTCAATCAAGTAAATGACCGACCATCCAACACACCACTGGAGAAAAGCAGATCCAAGCTTTTGCAATCTACACTACGTTTTCATCACTTTCTTTCTCTTTTCAGACTAAATATATTAATTTACATCCACTGTATTATGTACCAACACTCTTTTACTGAAATCACTCTTACTTCACCGCAGTGCTTATCCCTTTCACGTCTTTATAGAGAACAGGCATTCAGACCAAGCCTTTGTTTTGCCAAAGAAACAAACTGCTGTTGTTGAGACTACTCCTCTGACAGAAGCACTCCATTCCTTTAATTATCCTACCAGCCCCCGCTGCACCTGTTTCCAGTTTTGATTCAACCTTCTCAAATATGACTGATGGGAAGTATACAGCTGTGTTCCACATGGAGTCTTGCTAGGACTCGATGACATTAATACCTTCCTATCCTTACTGTCGACATTTATTCTGACATATGAGGATTCGCACCTCATTGTTTAGATGTCTGCTTCATTATTTAGATGGCTCCTAATGACACTGCCATAAGCAAATTCACCCAATCTTTCTCTTCCTAAACTGTACCAAGGATTATCCTCAGCTTACAGCAGGCAGTCTTACTGGTCCTAACTTCACAATCATGCATTTTGTATTATTGTATTTCACTTAGTTTCATGATTCATACTCCCTAGCATACTTCACAAATATACTTTTCATCCTAACACCATTAATAAAAGCACTAAACAATATACTCCTTCCATCCTGACAGTTCTGTTTCAGCCACAGTTACCTCTCTTTGGCTAGGCCCTTCACAATAAAATTTAAGCTGATCACTATCTTACCCAGTTTCACTTACATTAGCAAAAAAAAATCCAAACGAAAAAAAACCACACCACATTTCCTTCATCAAGAAAACCAAAGAAAACCACCAAGCGAAGTTTACTGAAAGTACATTATGCTGGGATATACTGCATTTAATTTTACTCTGTTCTCATTATAAACAGATAAATCATGAAAGATGCAATAAAAGTTATCAAACAGCTTTAGTAGAGGAGGAGGAATTGATTCTCCTATGCAGTAATAAGAAGTTATAAAATACAAAATTAATGTATATGGAGTAATTCAAGAAACAGATCAACATGTTTTTATACAGGAGGAATAGTATGACTCACGAATCTTAAGTGATGCAACTCAGAAGTGTGATAGTTTCTGAAGCAAGAAAATCACATTAAAACCAAAAGAATCACCATTCATCTGAAAGCTTCTTCAGTATTATTAATAATGTTCATCCGCCAAATAGCACACACTTATCAATTTAATGGCCCATATCCTGAAGCACTTTCTGCGTCAATACTTTCTGACAGACAGCAGAATATCAGTGTTCATCACCTGGTTTTAATTCTTGTTTGAATTTTTAAATGGTAAGTTTATTACAAATGTTTTTACTATTCAAACTGATTTATACAAGTACACCTCATTATGCTGATGAATTTATACATCAATATAGCAAATATTGTGAAGACACCATAGATTGCAATACTATAGATTATGACTCTCAGAAATTTATGTTTGTAAATTTTGAGAATTTATCTTGTTGTCATTATCATGCAATGTAAAGGTGTTGGCACAGCAGCAAACATGGATCCCAACAAGCTATTAACACCAAGTACATTTCAAAAGAGCACTGATTTTCCTACAAAACCCCAGAGAGGCCCTTACATCTGAATTTAGGGGAAATGTTGAAGATAAGCTGTTTCCGAACAAGAAAAAAAGAAGGAGAAAAAGTAAGGAGAGCAAATAGCAACTTAGAGTACCTTTTATGAATTACAAAACAGTGGGACAAGAAGGAAAGAATACTTTCAAATACGCTCTGCTAAAGTTCAGTCATTTTCACAATGCTTTATTCCCATAAAGTGGGTAAACTGAGCTTTGGCTCCACCTCTTTCCTTCAATAATGAGCCAATCAAGTAGTCATTACAAGCTGAGAAAGTAGTAGCACTTCATAAAATGTTACAGCAATTTACACTCCACCTAACCCCCTAGAAAGGGGAATTTCAACATCAAAGTTCCCCCCCTAGGGACACCAACAGGTGGCACAGTTATATACAGATTTAGATCTTTAGGCCAATGTTTTCAGAAAATAAGAAAGAGAAAATAAATTCAATTTTAGAGAAACCTAAGGTGGGCCTGATTAGTAAGAAGGGTTAGATACCCACTCTCTAAAAATATTTCCCTATTACACTTTTACATTACAGGCAGATTGCTAGCCTTACTGTACTCATCAACAAATTTGTGCCTGTGCTTATACATGGTGGAAAGCAGCTTTAAGACTCCATTACCAAGTAAAGGCAGTAACTTCAGCTGATGAAATCAATAATAGATAATTTTTACGTGAATCCTTGGTTTTCCCCTAGTTTACAATAATTAACTTACATATACCATGTGTACATGAATTTGGAATTAATATTGAAAGCTGTACATAAGTTAAATCAAGTGAGAAACTGCATTGAAGTTAACAGAATTCACAAATAAATCTTAGTGCATGATAATTCAAAAAAATTGCAACATACTACTCTCCTTAGCTGGTCATGACACAGATATCTTATTGTAAGCAATACCAAAGCACTTAAAGGTTCATAGCAAAGCGTAACTACTTCATCACATTCAAAGTACAGTATATTCTGTTCAAAAAGTCTGTGCTTACTCAGTGGTACCAAATTATTTTCTGAAAAGTTATTTCAGGATCAACACCCTCATCAACAATAACACACTGGAAATTGGTGTCCCAAAATTTCACTGATAAAAGTGCATTGAAATAAAAAAAAAATTTTTACAAAAACAGAAAATTCTGTCCATTACATAGCCCATACAGGATTCTCAGACAATAAACAGAGGTTGTGTTCTGACAATGCCATAGTAATATCTCTACACCTCTTGTTTCTTTGTAATCATTGTTTGGTGATCAATAATTCTCAATTTAAATAAGTCTACTGATTTATGTTGATTCTTTATCTCTATGTAAAATATTTAAATCAAATCAAAATTTACTAAAAGTTTTAGATCACAAGCTTCACTACTTCATCATGTTCATCTTTTAATCTTTATTGTCATTTTAATATTCAACCATTCAACACATATGTGATTGCTACTTAATAAACCTCTCAAGAGTATCCTCTTGAACAAAAGTTTAGCATGCCTACTATTGCATCTAGTGTCACACAATAATTCAGTAGGTTTTTACAGCCCAATGAGGGTATCAGTTACTGTTTCTGTAAAAACTACACAGTCAGTTTCCACCAGCTTGGTCACACCTGGAGTCACTATATTCCAAGCCTAGGTTTGTAACTGCCCCTAAAGTACATGCACTGATGCGTGGAATAAGCAGCACTTTCTTGACCACACAGATTCACTCATCATGTTTCCTTTTTCCAATACACTGCTTTAGGCTTTTGGAGAGTTTAGGCAGAACTCACAGTCATGGTGCACAAAGTGACCACTCTCTATCACTAGCTTCCTCTGGTATCTACTTTACACATTAAAATCAGTGCAAACACTAGAGTATTCTAAACTCCTTCTGATGTGGTGAGAGAGGTAACCACTAATTAAAGTTGTCCTCACATAAACATGCAATTACATTTTGAGTACAAATCTTCTTTTTTCACTTTAAATTTGAGGTCCCAGTTCTCATGACGCTTTTGTTGGTAAATATATACTACATTATGAAACTTTTTGCCAAATGGCTGCAGAGAAAGATAAGTTTTGGCAACAGGTAACTGTGAAGGTAGATAAGTCATCAAGACACTCTACACCTCTTCCTTTCCAAGCTGGCTGTTTTTCTCTCCCTAAGCTTATCCTGGAGGCCATCATCAAGCAGGTGGAAGAAAAGAAGGTTATCAGGAGTAGTCAGCATGGATTCACCAAGGGGAAATCATGCCTGACCAATCTAATAGCTTTCTACGATGACATGACTGGCTGGGTAGACAAAGGGAGAGCCATGGATGTTGTCTACCTTGACTTCAGCAAGGCTTTCGACACAGTCTCCCATGATATCCTCCTAGGGAAGCTGAGGAAGTGTGGGCTGGATGAGTGGTCGATGAAGTGGATTGAGAACTGGCTGAATGGCAGAACTCAGAGGGTTGTCATTAGCGGCGCTGAGTCTAGTTGGAGGCTGGTAACTAGTGGTGTCCCCCAGGGGTCAGTACTGGGCCCAGTCTTGTTTAACTTCTTCATCAACGACCTGGATGAAGAGTTAGAAGGTACCCTCAGCAAGTTTGCTGATGACACCAAACTGGGAGGGGTGGTAGATACACCAGAAGGCTGTGCTGCCATTCAGCGTGACCTGGATAGGCTGGAAAGCTGGGCAGAGAGGCACCTGATGAGGTTTAACAAAGGCAAATGCAGGGTCCTGCACCTGGGGAGGAACAACCTCATGCACCAGTACAGGCTTGGGGTGGACCTGCTGGAGAGCAGCTCTGCGGAGAGGGACCTGGGTGTCCTGGTGGACGACAGGTTAACCATGAGCCAGCAGTGTGCCCTGGCTGCCAAGAAAGCCAATGGGATCCTGGGGTGCATCAAGAAGAGTGTGGCCAGCAGGACAAGGGAGGTTCTCCTTCCCCTCTACACTGCCCTAGTGAGGCCTCATCTAGAGTACTGTGTCCAGTTCTGGGCTCCCCAGTTCAAGAAGGATGAAGAGCTACTGGAGAGAGTCCAGCGGAGGGCTACAAGGATGGTGAGGGGACTGGAGCATCTCCACTACGAGGAGAGGTTGAGGGAACTGGGCTTGTTCAGCCTGAAGAAGAGAAGGCTGCGAGGGGACCTTATAAATGCCTACAAATATCTGAAGGGTGGGTGTCAGGAGGATGGGGCCAAGCTCTTTTCAGTGGTGCCCAGCGACAGGACAAGGGGCAATGGGCACAAACTGAGGCACAGGAAGTTCCGTCTGAACATGAGGAAGAACTTCTTCCCTCTGAGGGTGACGGAGCACTGGAACAGGCTGCCCAGGGAGGTTGTGGAGTCTCCTTCTCTGGAGATATTCAAGACCCGCCTGGACAAGGTCCTGTGCAGCTTGCTGTAGGTGACCCTGCTTCGGCAGGAGGGTTGGACTAGATGACCCACAGAGGTCCCTTCCAACCCCTACTATTCTGTGATTCTATGATTCTGTGAAGATAACCAACATTTCCACTCTTTCATGGTAATTCTCCCTAATGGGACAGAGCAGTGCTATCATTACTGGCACTACAGCAGTAACCACAACAACAAGATCCCTTCAACTTCTCTTTTGGAACCATGAAGAGTTTTTCTTCTGACTTGATCACCAGAAAACAATTATATAAAATATCTGAAAACATAAAATTCCTTCTTTTTTACCTAAGAGTGGTTAAGTACAAGAAGGGAACAAAGAAATCAGATCCACATAAATTGCTTATCAATGAAATAAATTGCACCATACCATATGGGAGAAGGTTCCAAGAATAACATCATTATAAGGGTGTGAAACAAATGGATCCCAAAATCCTCATTTCTCCATTAAAGAAAGACTGTACAACCTTTCCGGCAATAAGACAAACACTGCCTAATCACCACCAGAAAATATTCATTTGTAGCGGACAAAGACTACAGAAACACTGAGAAATAGCTACAACTATAATTAAGTAGTCATGAGACTGGTTAGAAATACTTACCAATACTTTTCAGGAGCTCTGAGAACTAGTGATGCTGTTCACACTGACAAAAAAAGTGTGGGGACAGTTTTGATTTACCAGTTACAAGAAAGACAGGGTTATTGCCCAACAAGGTTTTCTGGAAGGCTTGTTGTCACTGTAAATTGCCTATGGCTTTTCCTATATGTGTTCCTGTTATGAAGACTACTAAAAATTAGAAACCTTAAATAGTTCCAAAGTCAGCAGACAGGAGATGCAGTTCCCAGGTAGCCTTTTTTTTCTTCATTTCTGATTCAATTTTACAAGACATATCAAATATTCTGTTAAAAAACATATTCTACTCTTAACTTCTCTGGTCTGCAATGAAGATCAAGTAAATAAAAAAGCCACTCAATGTAAGACAAATAATACAAGAATTACCTTTCTAACTCAGCAATTTTCTTATCTTTGTCATTCTTCTCATTCTCTACTTCCTTGAGTATTTCTAGAAGTCTGTCAACCTCAGCCTGAGCTTTGCCACATTCTTCTCTATAGTACGATGCCTCTTTGTCAAGCTGTTTCATTCTGTCTGCAAATTCTGGATTCATCCGTGCCTCCTCTTCAGCCTCATGAGCCTTCAGAATCAATATTTTTAAAAAAATAAGGATGACAATAATTTATATAGCTTTAAGAGCTTTGCTTCTTCAGTCTCGGAGTTCAAATTTTCATTAAAAAGGATTATGGGTATTTCTGTCCGATGACAGTATTTTCTACAGAAGCTTTATAAAAAGGAATGAAAACACCTTCATAATCTAAAATAATAGTTAAATGCTAGCATCCTGAAGGGGGAGGAGATTCATTACAGTTTTTTACATATTACAGGGTGTTTTTAAAAATAAAAAGTCACCTTGTAATTAATTTAATTCACATTAAACTTTTAAGCCATTTCACATACATAGACAATTTCTTAATAAATCATATTCTTTCTCTTTCCCCGTATATACATACACTTTGTCCATGTATATATATACACAAAGATACGTATGTACATACTGTAATTTATATCACCAGATGTTTCAAATGCAGTTTGATATGAAGAATTTAAACGGAAGAAATTGTTTTTATGCAGTGCTGTTTTTAAAGGACAGACCAATAAAACTAAAAAGTTGCTTTCAGCAGACGTTTTACCCAATAATCCTTTTTCTCTTATCATCAATACTTAACCTGAAACATCAGAAGAACAAGCCCATCGGTGAAAATGACACAAACCTGGCAAACACATGCATGGATGGGTGGCAGTTTCACAGACAAAAAAGAACGCAATGAATACAACAACAACAGTGCAGAACCCAATCTTACTCCCATCAAACCTAACGGCAAAAACCTAATTAACTTCAATGGGAGCATGATCTAGCGTCAAGTGCTTTAAACTGTTGGCTGTAATAATCACAGACAGATGGAAACAACAATGCACTGCAATGTTTAGCCTACCCCTTGCTTCCCATTATTCCTAATTGGCATCTTGAAAGAGCAGGCAAGGAAAAAACAAGTAGTTTAAGGCAGTGCACATTAAACATAGAAAATTCAGATAACATTCTCTTAACATACAGGAATTCTACGGAAATTCAAGATATTTAGAACTGAAGGTCCTCCAACTATCTTATTATGCAGGGAAGATGTGGACTTAATCTTCTTAATTTCAGGGAATAGACAATGCAAGCAAGCAATGAGAGAAATGCAGATCAAAATGAAACATGCGAGTTTTGGAAAGAATTAATACAAACTACAGATACTAGAAGGTTCATATTCTTTGCAATGGTTAAAATTTTCTGTATAAATAAAGAACAAGTCTGGGTTCAGTATAAATACAAGAATTAAAAAAATGAAATTACTAGGGGAGAAACTTAGGGGGAGTTGCATGTAACATATAATTTAAGCATGAGGATAATAAGAAAAAAGATAGTAGATTATAAGTGCTATCTATCCCACTGTGAGATTGTTCTTCAGAAGATATATTTGGTTACCAAAATAAGCCACGGGAATGACATGAGAAGCCTACTAAACTTACTGGCCTTGCTCTTCAAATTCTCTATTTTGGATAATAATACACGCTCCAGCCCTGAACTGTATGCAGACACAGGACCTCCCTAAGACAGAGCTCGTTTCAAGGTAACATCCCAACAGTATCTCAATTTTACTCTTTGGGTGAGATGCTAGCAACAGATTCCTTTTCATAGTCACAAATCTTCCTGCTTTAAACATAAACTTTGATTTATTTCATATTGGGTGTTAATTGTGTCAAGAAATTTACTATCAGCTAGCTTTGTAATTTTTGAAGTAAATGTAATACTCAGACTCTAGCCCAATTATGTGACTGTGTACCAATGTCCAGCTGCAGACCACTTCAATTTTCCATCAGCTCTATTGAGAAATTAGACAATGTATTATCTCTCCAAAATGAACACTAAGTGTTCTTTTACAACAAAGAAAAATAATTCCGTATGTTGGTAAAGGTAAATTCACCCTAGTGAAAAAAAAAAGAACATAATCCAACTCCCACCTTCAAGGTACTAAGAAAACTATGCAAAGGGCATGTTGTTCTCCATTGCTCTTCAGATTTCTCCTCCTCTCCTAAGTGCAAATCCAGAATTTCACAGTTTCCCTCTATAGGCGATCACTCTTTCATATTCCTCCCTGCCACCTTTCTTTCCCTTCTGTTCATTTTAGGGTAAAATTCATTTTTTCACCAGCCTTGCTTCCATCATTTTATAAACAGGCAAAACACCCGCCTTCCTGCCTCTAATCAGTATTTTCTTCACTTTAGCACACAGGGACATTTGGCTTCAGCTCAAATTTTTTCCCCCCATGCACCTCTACCATAGTTTTAACCCAGGACAGGATGAAATGCAGAAGAGACAGAGAAGCCGGTCTTACTTTTGCTTTTCATTGCCACACTGGACTTTCTATGATGAAAATACATAATTGGGCAAGAACATGACAGAGTCACCAACACAAAGGTGCCAAATGTTCTACTGCCACAGAATACTGCTGTCTCACAGCAGGTCAGAAATGTACTGAACAAATTATCTACTGCACAGCTTATAACTGAAACATCACCTGAAATAATAAACTGTATTCTTCAGTTTAGCCCTATAATCCTTGCTCAACAGCATGCTAAGGAAATTCATGTTAAGTTGCAAAAGTGTTTTCAGTTCTTGTGTTTTCTATGGTACTCATTCCATTCCCTATTTATGGGATATGTTTTTGGAAAACAAAAAGTAAAAAGCTTGGTCACTTTATTTCCCTATAGTTCCCAATATGAAGCAGAACCTACAAGATATGTTTAAATCCAAAATGATTAAGTATCCAACCTATAGAGGGTTTTGAGGTGCAGCACAGTTACCCATAATGTCACATATACATCAATATTAGGATTCAGTTCAAAGACAAGTGTAAGTTTATTATAAACTTTAAAACAAACAAACAAAAAGATCCCAGTATCGCAAACCACCAATTAAGTTGGTTGCCTCTAATTTTACAAGCACTTCCTATAGAATATTTTTTGACTGTTGGCAGGAAGAAGATTTCTACAAGGACATTGCCTTAAAGAAGAAGGAAAGGAAAGTCAGTTAAAAAGGGAGAGCAAGAACATAAAACATTTTTAAAAAGAGCTTTCTGCAGGTGGTACTCTAACTTGCAACGAGTCCCTTGAAGGGAATCCTCACGTTGTAAAGAAAGCTGCTGATGCGACAAGAGAGCAAAACACAGCCCATCCGACATTCCCAGGACAAAGGCACAGAATTACTTATAAAAGCCCTATTATATTTTATGGCTTTGAAAGATGTGTTTGGATTTGAACTCGATGCTCTTTTTTAATTGTTATATACAGATCAGGGGTGGTTTGCTGACAGATGGAACTTGACTTTTGAGGTCAAACAGTAGGCCCAAAGGAGATGAAAGGCAGCTCAGCTGATATTGACCCTGCTCCCACTCGGACAGGGCACATTTCTTTGGCTTTTTTGCAGGCTGTGGGAGACCAGCTTGGATCACTTCTCACCCGAAGCTGCATGGTTATCCCATGAATCAGAAAGTCTCTACCTGTTACTGCTGTCCTCTCTTCTATCCTTTTTTTTTCATTTCTGTCCCTCTTTTTCTCCCTAAGGTCTCTGCTTTCTTGGAAAGAATACATTTTCTGGTTTTATGGGGGTTTTTACAGGTAAGAGTGACTGGTTCGTGCATATTTTCAGCAGTAATTAATCTCTTAACCTGTACCTGTAAATGATAACACTTGTCTGTGCAGATTAGGCTAGTTTCAAACTAGCACGCTTGGTTTATGATGTTTTGTCTGTCACTTGTGACTTTGTTGTATGTTATTTTTGCAATTCAATAAAAATAGCATCTCACTCTACTATTAGAATTTCACTAATTTTTACAGTAATTATGTATATCTATTCTGATATTTGCTTAGGAAGTACTGCAAATACTTTAGAAGTAACATTTCTTTATCTAAACCACAAATTTTCTTTAGAAACACCGTAACAGTGTGGTACAGACATGCAACATGAATTACTTAGTCAATTAAAATTTTATGGTACAATCATATATGCACTATTCTGCATAACAGAAATGGATGAATAGATATAGTATTTAATTTTTAAAGCTTCAGACACAAACATACACAGAAATCAACCAAGTACTTAATTAAAAAATGGAACAGCAGAATTTACATGCAATAAATTACTTTCTAAGATCCTTCAAATTTTATTATTTTCAAAAATAGACTAAAAAAAATTGCTGCCACCTTAATTTTTTTGTAGTCTCCTTAAAATTCAAAGATTTTTATTTAACTTCAGGGACTGCTCTAAGCAATTCAGAGTGGATTCTGTAAGCACTTTAAATTTTAATCTGACATTGCTCCAATGGAGCATTTGGCAAATGAAGTCTTCACTATTCAGAAAAAGCTTCACCAGAACTCCAAACTAAGTACATCATCATATTTTCATTACAGGACAAAAACAATCATGTAACTTCTTATAATCAATTTTTCACAAGAATTCATTAGGTATTTTTAAAAGTTCAGCTTTCAAAAGAAGAAATGCGCACCCAATTCTGTTTACATCTTATTCATACAGGTGAATACATTTTGAAATACTATACTATAGAATATGCACAATTTGCACCCCTTCCATATCATCTCCACTTTGGTACCTAAAGGTGTATTTGTGTACATACATGGTATAATGCTATAAGAATAAAATACTTCTATGCATTGCTGTATTTCAAAAACATTAGATTCAGCAATAAATGACAGTCTTGGAGTTAGTACTTGTGTGACCTAGTAGAAAAAACACATTCCACCACAAAAAAAATGCTCTATTACGGCACGGGGTAAAAGAGGTCTACTCAGAGACTGTTATTTCTCTGACACATGTAAACAAAACAGCATTAAAACATCAGTATTTTAAGATTCGATTGCCATCTGTTTTTTTGTAACATTATTATTCTCAAACAAAAAAAAAATGTGGCAAGGAAACATTCTATTAAATAAAGTATCAAAATTAATTGTGGTACAAAAAAAAAGTTTCAAGTAGCTGCTATTATGCCATCTCAAAGAACAAAAGTGAAATCTTGGCCTTGTGGAATTCAAAGAATACACTGCCATTGACTTCAATCGAAACACAATTTCATGTCAAGACCTCAGGTGGTTTTGGGCGAGAGGAAGATCATTACTACTAACATTGTTAAAAGTAGACTGATATACCCAAGTGGAAGAAGAAAGAAGATGAGCAAGAAAAGTTTATTTAAGAAAACCTGTCTCATGGATATATTACAATTGCTGCCTGGTGCCAAAGGAAAAAGATCTTGCTCCCATGATTTTGGAACTGCCAACAGGCTGTCCTTTTCAGTATTAAGCACATAAAGGCAGAAAAAATAAAAAGAATGACTGACTGACTTTGGAATACCACACATAAATAGACTGGGAAGTAACAAATGAATTCCACACAGCAGACTATCTAATACTGAAATAATGACTGGAAAACATTTACAAAATCAAGAGAAAAACTAACACAAAAAAACACTCCAGTCTGAAAAGACATGCACAGTAGGAGTGCAAATGATATGAATAGAAACATAACTACCACACAGGTGAACCAAGATGATACAGAAAAAATGGGTTTATTGTTCAAAGGGAAAAGCTCTTTGACCAACAGTGTGCTGGGTGGTAGAGGCCATAATATCAGGTCTTATTCTACTTCCAATCAATTTATGACTGGATTCTAAGAACAGTTAGCCAGTAACTTTTAAAGTAAATACAGCACCTTCTGTGGGACTCTCTTTCACCATACATAAGTCATGACATATCCATCACATGGTTAGAAGCTACAAAACTCAGCAATAATAGACTCCAAAGCTGGAATCCTGGCCCGCTGACATTAATGGCAAAATTCCCATTGACTTCCATGAAGGCAACACCTTCCCTAATGCATAGTATCACATTGCTTAAGCTACAAAACCAGTTCTTCTGTATATACTATCTCAATAACATGGTAATTCCAACTATGATTACTGTGTAAACTATAGCTTGCAAATTGCTGTTACATCATTTTTTCTGTCCTGCGATGCTCACAGCACATTACATTTAACAGTCTCAGCAAAAAAAATGAAAACTGTTCTCTGCAGAGAGAGTGTTTGTTGCTGCTCTTCCTCAAATTGAAAAAGGAACATAGTCAAGTCAAAAGGGTAGATATTGTGCAATCAAAGCAGACATTGGCAAGAATAATAGTGCTAAACAAGCCAAAGCAATACTGTTTGGCTTTTTCAAACACTGCTCTTTGTGTTCATCATTTTATATGTCAGCATTTTCTTTGATTAAATACAGTATTTCCATATTCTTAATATATATGTGCTGAATGTATACAGTCTTATAGGCGTAAAAACTGATCTGAACTATTTTAATTGTACAGATTTTTGACAGTAGCATCAGTCACTTCCTAGATATTATTATTCACATGATCAACTCAGTCACATAAGATAAACTGAATAAATTAGAGGTTATTTACATTTGAAGGATCAAATAAAGTACTGCAGAGGAGGAATTAAAAAGCATAGCTAAGCAAAAAAAAAAAAAATCTGAATCACCTGCATGCTTTCTCTAATGGAGAAGTTGAGGACCTAAAGGCTAGGATGTTTGTTTTCTCAGAAATACTTTATGTACCTATTTAGTACACTTCATATTCTTAAATGGCCTTGAAGTCCACAAGGTTCATTTATTTGGATATAATGAATATAGCACAGTGAGCATCAGAAGTATTCCGCAAAGCTCCACAGAGGAAGAGCACAACACAGTAAGGTAATGGATCCTCATGCTTTCATATGTTACAGCGGGCATTTTAAAAAAGAACTTACTGGATTGTACATCTGATTGAACAACTGTTCAGCTTGCTACATTGCAAAGTTGGAAGGGAGTGAAGCACAGACAGGAAAAGAAGGAAAGATCCAGGAAAACAGCATTAGCTCAACAAAACCAGTGCATTTGCACAGAACTTGTCATAAAAAAGTAGAAATTTAAGATTCTAAACATTCCTTGGTGAAAGTGAGAGGCACTGGGGAAACATAAATGTTGACTTTGGCTCCTAAAAAAGAATAGCTGGAGTAAGAAATTTAAGGTTTGTGTTACTTCCCCTTTCTCAAGTTAAATAACCCATGAAATAAAGAAAGGTGTCCACTTTTGATGATACATTAAGTGCTGGTCTCAAGCAATGAATCATGAGAAGTGCTTTTGGCTGAGGCTGCAATTTATCACCAAAGCTTCAAAGACGGTAATAATAAAAGATTAATTAAATTGTATCATTAAATTTATTACATTCCTCTTGTTTAATACAAGACTGAATTTTCTATGCGGAATGACTTTCGAACAGTACAGCTTGGCAAAAAGTACTTTAGCAATGTCAGTAAGCAAGTAAATTTAAGATAATGAAAAACAACAAAAGTAGAAAATTCTAGAGTGGATAATAAGATTATACATACATATACCCACACACACACACGTATAAAACACTTAGCTACCTATTAGGTAATACCAAGCAAAACAACAAAAAGTTTGTGCAATTTTGGCACAAAGTAGCATTAAGCATTCTTCTGGAGTTTATGATTTTTTTTAATTTTACGAATTTCAATCCATAATCTTTGCCACAAAGACTTCAATAAGCTTGTCCATGGTTTTAAACCTTATTTTGAGTACCAAAATACAGCACAGTATTGTAATACTGAAAAATATTTGGATCTAATCAGACCCAGCCAAAAACATCTTTATTATCAATAAATTAATCTTATTCTCTCCAAAAACAGGAAGGAGAGGAAAGAAGGGAAGAGAAAATATAAATTTATATTTTTTTTTTAATTTCTAGATTTTCTTTGTACCTGCCCTTGCACATGTCTAGGGTTTTTTCAGGCATAGTACTCACTACCATTAGTGCTCACGGAAAATTAACTCCTACCAAATGTGCACAGAATACTGTTTTCATATTTATTAGTATAACTTACTAAAACATATATCTCAACATTAAACTGTAATGATTTTATGACACTATAATGAAAAGTGCCTTCTCTACGATATTTTTAGAGAGAGAAGTAATGTGTAAGCTAAATTCAAATTTCTCAAAGTAACAAGCAGCCCCTTGGAGTCACTTCTGAAAGAGAGATATAAACTTTGCCCATTCCTTTTAGCTTCCGTAGTGGCTAATGTTCATACATAAGCACACTTATGGGACATGCAGGCTAATTTACTCCAAACTATGTTGATCTTCCCTCCTACTCTAAACTCAGACATATGCAAGAATAACCCAGATTTCTCTTTCAGTTAGTTTCCTAAGGAGTGAAAACATGGTGAAGGTAGTTTTCTGGGGACCAATTACTTTTAACACAGGATATTTACAGGTTTGAACATAAAGTATTTTATTACAGAAAATGTGAACTGAAAATAAGTGTTTGGACTCTACTATCATTAACAGTCACTGTTTCTGTTTAACTAAACTGTCCACAAGGAAGGCTGTAACTACATTTTATTGTGGAAATACCTGGTCTCCTGCAAATGTTGGGTGAATTTCCATTGGGGCTTCATGCTGTATTTCTGATATAATAAAACTATTATGTTTTCACCTTTCATTTAATAATCCTTTGTATTTATACAGAGGGAACAAAAGATGTCCCAGACACTCTCTGTCTTTTATAAGTGCTTATTTTTCCATGATTATATGATGTGTTTATATGTACAGTCATAAAAGATTGACTTAGGGTTGCAAGTCCTTCAAGAGGATTATGATTTTTTTTTTTCCACTGATCTGTGCTTTTGGGGTTTTTTAAACTATTTTTATTAAATTAAGAAAATCAGGTATTTCAGGTTGTAATGAAGTATATTTTGTAGTGAAGTGCAAAGTAAACAAACACATTTTCTAACAAAAGAAAAAATAAAGGACTTCCAGAGAAACAGCTTCTTTGGCTATTTTAATTCTGACATCAATAGCATTTATAAGCTGTCAAACATTTGATATAGTTGTGTTTCCATTAAAAGCTTCTGTATTTATTCATTGAAAAGTATTACTTTCCTTCCTCTCCACAACTAAATATGTAACATAGGCACCTAATTGCACATATTCATTCTGAATTAAAAAATAATAGAGGTATAAGGTTTACACTCTGGTATCCTTTATACTTTGCAATACCTTCTTCACAAGTAAGGCTATTAAAACAATGCTTAAGCACAGAGCAGGATGCTACTAAACCTGGGTAAAAAGAATGTCAGAATATTATCCTAACTGTGGGAACATTCATAGAACAAATAAATTTTCTTTTCTAGAAAATGAAACATTAGATATCAATATAAAAAAATAATGTTTGACATACACTTAGTCACGAATTAGACTTAGAAGGCAAACATAATGCCTAAACCCATCAAATATGTCATGAGACTGGGGTTCAAACAATGAGAGCAGACATTACCAAATGACACAGAAAAAGGCCAAAGAAACAATGTATGGTAGAAAAGGCATTAATAAACTTGCAAATCATTTAAGCAAAAACTATTTTAATGCATCAATTTAAATAAAACCACATTATAAAATATAGGATTGGTATGTTTTTCTTTAAGTGCTTGCTTCCACTACTCGCTGAACAGAAACACTGAATTGCTAGCTGAGATAAACTATGCATTATTTCACTTAATTATCACAAACACGTGTTCACCAACAAAGCCAAAAAAATGACAAAATAAAAACCTAGCTAGAGTTTCTGTTTTGGAAGCAGATATTTTTTGATTAGGAAGTACAGCATTTCTTGGACGAGCCTTTAATTTTTTCCCATGCTACAAAAATTTCAGTCTACTTCTAATAGCGGTATAAAATCATATGCCTACAAATTGCTGCTTTGATAATTTCTTTCTGCCCTTCTGCTTTCCCGCCAATGTCCTGCTCCCAGTTCATCTATTTGTAGCAGCTTCTCAGAATTCCCTCATATAGGTATTCAAGATAATTTCTGAGGCTCACTAGTGGCTTTGGTACAAGCCTCTTCAGGAAAAGTTAGCAGTATTCGATGCAAGGATCAAACAGCATAAAATGGGTATCTTTTACATTTACTCCAGAAGAGTAAATAAGCTTGTATTTTCAAAATGAGGGCGTGGGATGTTGATGTTTGTTTTTCTGATTGTTTTTGTTTGTTTGTTTGAAGATGGAACTTACCTTTTTTAACTGTGCTTCCAACTTACTACACTCTTCTTTCTTTTGTTCTATGGCTATTTCTAAAGACTTAAGTTTGGAGTCTCTTTTCAGCCCTGCTGATGCCAATGAAGATGCATGTTCTTTGAGATCGATTAAACTAGACTGAAAAACGACCAAGAGTAAAAAGTTAATTCCTAGTCATCAGGACACTAACTTATTGCCAACTTAGTAATCACTCGGATCCTGTTCCCCCTCCCCTTCCCCAAAAAGAAATGACACAAAGATAAGCATCAATAGCAAAAGACATCATTTTGAGAATACAACCAATTGGAATCACAGGAGTTGGCATGCAGTGAAACACAGAAACATTCATAAAACAGAAAAATTGACATTATATTCTGGAGGTACAATTACTTTGAAGTCTGTTGTTCTAACTGACATATGAAAACAGGAGTAACAATGGAATATTTGAGACTACTGGAGGCTTATGTAAAGGAAAAAGCAGAGATAATGACACACAACTACACAAAAAAACTGAAGCAATATTTTATGTACAAAAGTGAGGGCTATGAAGAAGCTTAAGAAAACAGCAGTTCAGAAGCTGACCACTGAAGTGGCAGAATTTCAGTATTTAAAATGATTCGAGTAATCCTGATGCACTTTGTTTCATCATGATATAGATAGCAGAACATAGATTTTACTGAAAAGACTGACCTCTTTTTCTGTCAATTCAGCTTGTAAAGCATTAACTTTCTCCTTCAGGTCTTTGTTTTCTTTTTTATAAGATTCAATTTCTTCAAGTCTTTCTCTGTCATCTCGCTCTCTTTGCTCCTTCAAGCGCTCTATTATTCTTTCCTAACAAGGGAAAGAATTACAAAATGGAAAAGCTGGGAATCACTTTAAGAAAAGACAGAATAAAATTTCTTTACATTAACTAGCACTTAGAAAAATCAGCCGTCAGAAGTAGAGTTAATGGTATTAAAGCCAATGCAAGATTTCCCCTGATTTCAAAAGCATTAGATCAAGGTTTTAAATACATGATAAGAGTAACACAGTACAGAAACTTCATTATATTATTATCTATACTAATATGAATATATTTAGTGTTGCGACAGATATGGAAAGTTATCCATCTCAGTAATGTATGTCCTGTATTCATAAGCAATTGAAGTCTTGAATAAAAGTTCAAAACAGAGAGGCCATGACTGGTTTACTCAGCTTGAATTTGGTTATGTTTTTGGAATGCTAGCAGCCTCTATAGTGGCTGTAAGAAGTTCCCAAGGTTCCAAACCTAACTAGAATTCAGTCACTTGTTAACTATCAGTAACTTACAGTTTACATGTATTATATTTTGAGAGGACAAAAAAAGAAATTATCCAAGACACAGAAAAAGTGCTCTGATAAAACTTCTGATATCCAAAGGAAGATTTTTCTCCATCTAATTAACAGTAACTCTACACATATTTAAACTCAACCACTTTATTGACTTCCAGTTACTATCATAAGGATTGCTGAAAATCACCAGTCAAGGACTGCATCAAGAATTCAAACGACGAAACGTGAAAAGCAGATGCAGTAGTATGGTTTTGTTAAGCTTTGATTACATTCATCAAAATCACATTCTACCAATACTTGAAGCATGCATATAATAATCAGAGAGAAATATTTAGAGTAAAATAAAATAACCACTAGACTTGCATCTGAATTGGGGATAGGTCAGTTTAAGCAGAGCATCAGCGGAACTACTAGTGTCCTTTTGGAAGTGCTAGTCGGGGGGTAGTGGAAGCAACACCATTTAGGAAAATTAAACCTACATGGGACAAAACTACTTCCTCACTGATGAAGTTCTGGCTCAGGTAGAACCATCAGCGTGCTCATGGATCCTATTTAAGCCGTTTTGTACTAATGCTTTAAATCTCCAAGAAGGAGTTTAAGAGTGGGAACAAGACTTGAAATACTATTTCATAGAACTGGACAAGACTGATGGAAGCCTAATAGTACTAGTAAGAGAGAAAACTCTCATGCCAATTCCCTCTGTCTATGATTCCTTATACTGCCATACATATACAAACACACACACACTGGAGATACATATATACACACACACACTACACATACAATTTAGATTACCTTTACGAGTTTACCTTTGCCCATATCAATCTACTCTCAGCTGTGGTTATTGTATCTCAACAAACCATACAATGCAAACAACATTTCAGCAGCTGTATAACCCATTCTGATTTGTAATAAACTTAGTCATTATAATGAAAAGGAAAAAATTCATTATCAAAGTTAGCTGAAGTAGTAACAGCACTTTTAACAAGCGTCTGTTATTGAGACAATCCTGGTTATTTGTTCATTTTCTCCATACACTTGGTCAGATGTTCCTCCAAGTCCTAGAGGATCTTCCAAAGATTGTTTCTGTGCTTTTTAAAGCTCAATGCATATTTTGCAAAAAGCTCACTGTCAACGCTTCTGTGCATGAAAAGAGAGCCTAAACTCAAGGCTGGTGTTCATCCCAGCAGTCTCCAACCTTGGAAATATTCAAAATCCAGCTGGACAAGACCTTGAGTAAACTGCTCTAGTTGACCCTGCTTTAAGCAGATGGGTTGGACTAGACAATCTCCAGAGGTCTTTTCCAGTCTCACTGATTCTGTGGGATAGGCAGAGACATTTTCTAGATTCTGTACCTCAAACACTGGCTGTTTCTTTCTCTTCTGCTCAGTCTCTCTCTCCCCATTTTCACAATTCATCCCTTTGTAACACCAAGCAGCAACTCTGCTGACAATTGTCCATTGCCTCTGCTTGTTGTCTGTTCCTCCTTCCATACTGCATAGCAAAGGATCTACTTAATAGAAAATGGAACACCTGATGTTTTCAGAAGGCTGGGAAGTTTTCCATAAACGCCCCCTTGTATTTTCAGTTTTTATATATCTGCCTTTCACTAAGCATCTGTTGAAGATCTCCCGTTTATTCATTCTCCTGTCACTTAAATGCCATATTATCTGCATGTATGAAGTTTAAAACCGATAATCAGTTTCTGTGTGAACTGAATAAATCTTCTATTATTTTAAATTACTGATTTAAAACTTGACTACACTTCAATCAATTTGACTTTAATGGGTTATGCATTTCCCCGAAAATATTTAAAAGCCAACTCAAGAAACAGAAAAATTCAGCTTCTCATATTGATCTTTACTTCTCTGGAATGTCTCTAATGTTTCCATTTGCTTATTGGAGACCTAACTGCAGGGCCCAGTGTAAGTGAAATTAAGCTTATTAGAATTTTAATTTAAATCTTAATTTTTGTACTTCCTTATCTTTATTTTAAATATTTTAAAATTAACTTACTTTTTTATTATGCTTAAACATAAAATGTAAGCTATGATGCAACATCACAGAATCACAGAATGGTCGGGGTTGGAAGGGACCTCTGTGGGTCATCTAGTCCAACCCTCTGAAAACGTGATGTATTTCAAATATATTCCTTTTAGAGCCATTTCAAACATTTATGTTCCTCTGACAGATTTTTTTTTTTTCTTCCAGTTATATAATATTGGCTTCCAGCTGTAATAATTTATTTCACCAATAGTCAAAATTTTTTAAAACGCTTCACATTGAGTATTTCATAATGTGATTACATGTATTACTAAAATTAATGTTTAACATTATTAGAAGGTTTTAAACAATTAAAGATCTTTACCAAATAAGTAGTTATATTTAAGTTTGTAAATAAATGTATTTTGAATCTTTCAGACCTTAGAAAATAATCTGCTTTATATTGAATAATCTTGTAATAAGAATATTAGTATATAAATTTTAGTTTGTAAATAAATGTATTTTGAATCTTTCAGACCTTAGAAAATAATCTGCTTTATATTGAATAATCTTGTAATAAGAATATTAGTATATTTATTTTTTGTTATCCAGTTCCCAAGGAAAACCTCTTCAAAGGGCTGGAAGTTCACAGTGCTACTTTCACTTTGCATCTAGCATTCCCCTGACATCAGGGACGCCCTTGTATAATCTAGCTAACGGGGCATACATCTTACCAAATTAGCATTACTATAAGAATATTCACAGAAAACAGTGTTGACTACTGTCCTGGGTTTGGCCAGGACAGGGTTAATTTTCACCGGACTCCAGGAAGGGGCACAGCGGGGGGTGGGGGCTGACCCCACCTGGCCAAACAGAGCCCGGTATTCCATACCGTGTGCCATCACGCTGGGTTACGGGGGGGGGG